CATATATTTTAATCTATATAAAAAGGAGACTGGTATCACAGAAGGGATCTTAAACTAGGAATCAGGGACACCAGGGTTATGGTCCTGCTCTGTCACTAACTCTAACACAGCTGGACCTAATAAGCTTTCTATGGCACCATGATTCTACATAAAAACATGTGGTCCCCAAATAAAAGACTGACATACCTAATATGTTAAAATTGTACTTTATTACTAAAACAGAAACTTACAAAAAGGAGGTAACCTGACAAGAGATTTGATTCTAGGTCTAATGAGAAAATATACCTAAAATAATGAAACTTTGAATTACTGACAGTTCTGCCCCCACTGTCAATACTCTCAAGGCAGATAAATTCAGAGTGGGGCTTCTGGTTGGGACCGTTTAAGACTTTAGCTTAACATCATCGGTAAGAATGCCAGAGACCTCCACCACGTTTATCTCTTTAAGGTGAACCTCACTTATAAGACATATTAATGAAGTACAGACTGACAAAAATTCACCAGAGAAAAAGAAAAGTATGGTATGTCTTGATAGGTAGACCTTTATTTTAAATTGATTTTATTTCCAAACTGCCTTTTCCAAAACAAGTATTTTTCAATGGAATATAAAATAAGGCCTTACCTACCAAGATACCCCTATGCTGAAGAGATGTCCCTCTTCCCCCCAAAAAACAACTATATAAATGTTAAGCATTTAATAAGTCTACCAAATACAACTCCTGTTATATTCCTGTAAGAGCAGTACAATATACACAAAAGGCAAATTAGCATGGCAAGAGGTTTTCTGAAAGGCTGTGATGACTAACATTTCAGGACTAGAATGTGATAGTTACTAAAAGGAACATGAGAGGCATTCTCCCAGTTCCTTGCAGGCCAATGTCTCCACCACAAGAACTACTACAAAGAACATTCAGGACAGAATTCACACGGTCTAGTCTCTTAGGCCTAAATCATCTTTTGCAATTTCCCCCGCAACGTAGCACCTGTGTGAATCAAAGAAGCCAATCAGTAATTCATTTGTTGAAGGTCAAATATAAGGCACAATGAGGCCCAACCATTGTGATGAATAAAAAGAGCAAAAAGAAACCCAAGATTTGGTCTTGTCGAAAACAATGTCCCAGAACCCAGCAAATAGCATTACCGTTCAGAAAAGAACAGAATGAAATGACATGTTGGTACTGTCGTTGCTTGACATGTACCAAACACTTTCCTTCATGTTAAAAAAAAAAAGTACACGTAGCATCTGATTCACACCTTTACACAAAACTTCAGTATTAACCAAGGTTTTTCAAATGCCTTATCTCATGAATGGGGCTTCCAAGCGAAGGCTAATGAGGACATCTGGGGAAGACCACCAAAGAGGCCTTATCGAAGCCAGTATTTCACATGTAATAATAGCATGTCTTATCGAGTTAAGGTACAAAAATTTCGGTGTCTAAATTTAAATATTTTGTAACACATTTCAACTAATTATAAGAAACAAAAGATCAAACCCACAATTTTCTGTCTGTGCAAGTAGAATTTAGAGATTATTTCTTAAGAAGTTAGTACTAATTTTCTTTGTGGTCCTCAAAACACAGTTTACCTGTTGGACTGAGTATAAATAAATATAAACTTTTAGATGGCAATTTAGTATAGCTATCAAAAATTAAAACTTGCATGTACCTTTTGATCCACCAATTACATTTTGAGGAATCTATCCCATAAAATTTTTGGATGCAAATATAAAAATGTTCGTTCACTGCCGCATTTTTGTAAAGATAAAAAATCATTTATGTTGATTAACATAAAGGATAGCATACAAAATGAGTTGGACTCAAATGTACTGACTTGTAAAGAACTCCTAGATACTTTATTCAATGAACAAAGCAAGTTGCAGAACAACAGGTATAGCAAAAATATACTTATGTCAAGAAAATGTGTATGTGTGGGCGGGTGTGTGTGTGTAACTCCACAGAAAATGGTCTAAAAGGATTCACACCCAACAGAGGCTACATTCTAGGGAGGAACTGTGGATTGATGTGTGTAGGCTGGCGTAGGCGTGAAGGGAAAGGTAATTTTAAGGAATGATTTTCACTTTCTACTCCACAGACATCTATATCATTTAAATACATAACATATAAAACATCTATTCTTTATGGAAAGTAAGAAAGATGCAATGTCGAATTTTTAGCTAAACTCTAGAAGCACTTAAAGAGGATGCTAAAATAATAAAAGAAGTAAAGGCTGTTAGTGGTCAAAAACATCCTTTGTAGACTTTAATAAAGACAGATGTGTGCAGTATCAATCAGTAGTTATAAATGCATATGACAGTGTTTTCATAAAAGAACAAGCATCAGAGAACTAAAAGATTTATATCTTAAAATTTTTAGAATATAAAAGGTTCTGAAATCAGAAGCATTATTAAAAAGATATCATCATTCTAAACGTCTCTTAGAAATACAGTTTTAACAACGAATTCTATTACTCTGGTACACAACATACACTGAGTGGGTATGCTCTTTTGATTTAAAAAACTGGCACATATAAAGCAGTAGATGGTATGAGGTGTTTTCTCTTACCTGTACATTTTCTTCTGTAACCTGGATTTCTGCAGTGTAAACATAATCAATTAGCATCCTCAGGGTCCAGCCATCTACCTCTTTTATTCGAACTCTCTTTGCTCGGCTCTCACTCATTTCACCTAAAACACAAAGGAGTAAGAGTGATGCTATAGCAAGACCCTGCTGTGGAAATACCAAGGCCAAGACAGACTGGTCCATTTTCTTATCACTAACTGTATTCAATAGGCAACATGATCAGCCACTTTTTTGCAGGCCTAAAACATTCCCCCACCTCCCCTGAAAGTTTACCTGAGAAAACCGTAAAATGTACTTTTGCTGTCATCTATACCTGAAAATCACATCACAACAATGAACATGCCACGTGTACAACTGCACGTACTATATAGTACTTGTGGCATTATAGGATCAGTACCCAATGCTGTCCATGCTTCTGAGCAATCTGTTTTCTTTTTGAATTTCTACTCACGACTAGAAGAGTCACAGTGTCAACCCCCTTTGGCTAACAGCAATGAGCATTTGCTGAAAAGGACCCATTTGCTTAGCAGCATCCATTCGACAAGCACAACCAGGGCCTGCCGTGAATGTGTGTGGCCTGCACTGGACACAGGGAGCTCTGCCCTTGGTAGGGAGGACCCAACTCTCACGCAGGAAACCATGAGAACACAAATTACGTGAGAGGCCGAGAGAATTCAAGACAAAAGAAGGATTAGAACAGGGTTAGTCAAAGGCAAAGATTTGTTCCAGAGACCAAATCTAGACCAAACCTGTTCCTGTCTGGCATGTGTGGTAACTTCATCCTGAAGTCATTTCCAAGCCAGCATTGATTGCTAAAGCCAGATAGAAACCCTTCTACGTCACTGTCTGCTAAAAAGTGGTCCAAGACCTCTCTCCCAGTACCCACTGAACTAATTAAGCATTCAGGGATCATAAATAAGATCTCCTCTATGGAAAGAAACAGAGACGCAGAAGGGAAGTCCTCTAAACCAAAGGGACTTAGGGAGAGTAAGAAGTAGACTTATGTGTGAACAAGAAAACGACCCAAGACAAGAAAAGACATAAGCAATCAAATGGTGGAGAAATAAAATTTCAATTAAAAATAACAAGGGCTGTCTAAACACAATATTGAGTGCTATGGGGCACCCTAGCAAAAAGATTTGATTCTAGATTTCAACAGGTTTTAAAGATAAAAGCAGCAGGGAAAACAATGCTCCCATCCCTCGCCTTCACCTTAATCGGGCATCTCCTGTTAAAAATGAAACACAAGAGCCTCAAGACTTCTTGAAAGTTTATTTCTTTTTCAAATACAGTGCACTGCCAATGGCCATAACTATCAGAAAAGCCGATGGGAATTCATAATTACACAAAGTTCCTTTACAAACGCAAACCCTAGGAGGAAAGAAAGAATAACAATGATGTAGGTTTAACTGCGTGCTTCCCTGGAGACTATCTTTGACAAGATCTCAGAAAGAAGCTGTTCTCCTAAGAGCTAAAATATCTCAAAACCTACCCTGCTACTTCCCAGGGGAAAAACACTTGTGAGTATTACAAGGGAGAGAGTTAATAAGAAAAAGATACATATTCCTATACAGCAGGAAGACAGGGGCCTAGGTTACATGTCTGCTGTTAAGTACGTATTTTTCTCCCTTAAGGAAAAGGGGGAAAAAAATGAAGGTTGAGGAACATGGAAAACTAATTCATCTGCATATAAGGCACCTCCCACTATCCCACTCTCTCTGATCTTGTGTATAAACTAGATTTGTATCATCTGGAAGCTCTTTTTTGTGCCAAAAGTAAAGATATTTGGATTCCCATGTAGACTTTTGGAATTAGCACCTCTAATTCATCTGTGAGACCGCTGTGATTTGTGAAGCCCTGCAAGACCTGAGGGCACAGGCACAAAGCCATGTGTCTAGTTCGTAAAGGAGTGAATTCACCCCTCAAAATTTAGGCATGACTTAGCATACACAAAACAAAATCTGACTTTAGTTTACATATATGACAGTCCTCTGCCAGTTTTTAATATTATAGTTTTTAAAGTATTGCTATAAGATGTACTTTGTTACTTCAGACATTCCTTATGTCATTTTTAGTATCATTTCTCTCTCCAGAAAGCTACCTACTTTCAACAAATTCAATGCCAATCATATACTGCTTCAGAAACATTTTAATTTTTATTTTTCATATTAATTAACAAAAACGGTAACAAAAACAAGCAGCTTGCCATAGATTGCATTAATAGTTTAAAAATTCCAGTAACTGCTAAGAATCAAAACATTAAAGAGAGTTGTAAAAGCTATTTCAATCTAATTCTAGCTGTTTCGTATTATCTTAATTACTGCCCTTTGCTGTGTTCATGGAGGAAATCTTTAAATAGTATGGTCCTATAAGATTTATTTTTGATAATGCATTTTAAAAAGATATCCAATGATACTGTACAGAGTTCATCTTTAACTTTCTGTAGTCTCTCCCTTTGATTACAGTGTTTTGTTTATGTTTTGATCACACAGAATTCTGAAGCTCTGCTAGGATATTCACATGGACACCATCACTGAAAACCTGAGAGTCGCCCTTGACACCTTTGTCTTTATCCACTCATCTAGTCATCCTGAGCCTGCAAAATTAATAGTAAATAGATCTCAAGCCAATCCCCTCTCCATTCCTTCCGCCACTGTGCCACTGGGGCTCCCATCACCTCTTGTTAACACCACCACAGTGACCTTCCTAGTCTGGTCCTACCTCCAGATCTGACTACGGCACTCAGAAGTCTGTGGCGGCTCCCAGTCCAGGCATTCAAGCCCCTTCCACATCCGCCCCTGCTTCGCTCTCTCCTACTTTCCTCTCCCCTCTCTCTCCTACTTTCAGTCTTAGAATTTATCAAGAAGGAATTTTTCGTAGTTTTCCCCACACACCAAGAAATTTCCTACCTTGATGCCTCTGTTGAGCTTTGTCCCTTTGTCTCCCCATGCCCTCATTCCCCAGGCTGATCCCCACACAATCTTCAAAATTCAGCTGGAATCTCTCCAGGTAGCCTTACCTGTTGGGGACCCAAGGCTGGGTTAGGCTCTCACCCTGAGTACACCTGGGTACCTGCTGCAAATCCACGCTGTCATAATCCTAGCTAGTTCTCCCCACTTGGGTTCTTGAGCAGGGATGACATCTTTCTTATCTCTGTATCCTGCAATGCCTGACATATGGTAAATACCCAATAAATATTGGTTGGATAAATGAATGACTAGAAGAGTGAAAAATAAAGCAAGTGCCAATTTAAGATGTACCATCTTTACTTAACATAATTAGTGACACTTAAATTAATCTTGAGCATGGATATTCTAGCTATGAAAGATTTTGGTCAACAAACATTTATTAACATCCACTATGCACTCCAGGCTGAGCTAAGCACTTTCACTAACGAATATTGAACCATCTCCACTTTTTGTGAGAAGAGAAATGAAGTCCTCCAAATTGTAAAAGCTTAAGGACATAGGAATAAAAACATGTCTATCTCAAGGACTTTTAATCAGGACTCCTAAAGCCCAGCACAAATTGATAACTTCATTTATTCATTCTAAAGTTCTAAAAAGTGAATAGATTTAAAAGAGAAAACCCTAAGATTCATTTCAATTTTTAAAATCCTATGATTTTAATTTCGGTTATTATTTAGCACTTAAAACATGTGAAAGAAAACAAAAGTATAATACAGAAGCTTTAATATGCTGAAACCCTAAGACGTGAATGACAAATTTATAGTTACAGTTAATAAATAAAATATATTCCATTACTCAAGCTCTACTTGTCACCTTCTCTAATCATTATTTCTCCTTTGTTCAGTATTAGTCTTGGGTTACAAAGAATCTACTGACACACAGATATTTTCATTTTGGCAAGCTGACCCGTATGCCCCTAGCAGCCACTCTTTATGGTGGTCAAGGTATATAACTCTTCAGTTCTACAACGAATCTAAAGCAAACACGGGAACTGCATTCCTCTGTAGCTTTAGTCTAGTTTGAGGAACTTCTGGAAAAGGTCTCCTAGCTCCTAAAACAGAGAAAAAAAAGAGACAATCCTCCTCCTTCTTTGAGATGTTGGGTCTATTCTGGTAGGCATTCAGGAGGGGAAGCAAACCTTATAATAAAATTCTTACTGAGGAAAGAGGGTGGAGAGACAGAAGGAACCAGATCCCTGATGAAATTCTCAAACTGCAGATGCGATCAAGCCTGGTCCCAGCCCACTTTCCAATTGTGAGAGAATATAATTCCTTACTATTGACACCAGTTTGAGTGAAGTTTTCTGTTAAATGCAGACTAAAACATTCTAACGTATGCTCTTTATGTGCAACGCCCTATTTCATTTCCTTCATGGAAGTCAGTGATATCAGAAATTATTTTTTCTTTACGTTTACTCTCTAACCTCCCCTCCCAGTGAGAATGATGAGTATGGGGAATTGTCTGTCTTGTTCATCTCTATGATTCCCAAAGCCTAAGATAATGCCTACTACACAGAAGATGCTCAATAAACATTCCTTGATAAATGAAAGCATAAATCGTAGACAAATACAACCATATATATGACTTTGAAAAAAATTTCACTTCTTAATCATTTAAATGATAATTTATCTTTTCCTATTCTAATTTACCTCACTGAATCATGTTCAATATGACAAAAGAAATCATCAAAAAGCACACACAAAGCTGAAGGAAACTGGACTTTGGGTGGTAAACACACAATAGAATATACAGATGTTAAATTATAATGTATATCTGAAAATTATATAATTGTATTAACCAATGTTACCCCAATAAACTTAATTAAAAATATAATAAAAAATAATAAAAAATAATTTTAAAAAAGCACACACAGAAGAGTAGAAATTAAAATTCATTATTTCCCACTAGATTTCATATATTTTAGCTTATGGCCCCAAATAAGCCTCAAATGTATCTGTAAGAGAAATGGGTTTTTAAATGCCATTACTTGTAACAAAAAAAGTAATTTACAAATACAAAAGCCCAATTTGACACATTTTTTTCTCAGGTAACAGCTAACTTGGCCCTGCTCTAAACAGGCCCATATTTGACAAAGTGAAAACCTATGACTCTGTCACAGAATAGCTTTTCACCTCCTTTCTCTACCCAAATACTTGTAACTATAATGAGTAACAGAATTCTTTTCTAGCTGATATAATCTGAATGAAAAATTCACCTACAACTTATAGGAGATTAAAAACAAGGGCCAAGGAAGAACATCTGCATATTCCCCTTTCCTAAGAAGTGACTCATGGGAAAACAAAAGAAGAGTATGGTGACGCCCTGTGCCACTGCAGGCACATCTGCTTATCTACTAAGCAAGAGAATGTGAGTATATATGGTATATGATAGGATGGAAACAGGCAAAACTCTACATGTTGGCCTCACTATATATAATAAACATTCACAGAGCTTCAGACCAAGAAAACAGATAAATAATGGACTCATATTCTAGAAATCTTAAATGAATATAGTATGCACACTAAACCACCTAGACCAAATCTCCCTATCTTCTCTACCTAATCTCTGCCAAACTGTTGACTACGCAGTGGATTCAGAAGAAGAAAACATACAAAAATTGCTAGATAGGTAAATAGCATCTATTACTAAAGAACCACAAAAATCCAGCCTAATAAGCACATAAAAAGATGCTCAACATCATTAGTCATTAGGGAAGTGTGAATTAAAACTACAAGAAATGCCATTTCACACCCGTTAGAATGACTACAATTTTTTAAAAAGATAGAGAGTAATAAGTGTTGGCGAGAAAGTTGGAGAAATGGAAACCCTTATGCAGTGCAGGTGGGAAGGAAAACTGGGGCAGCCACTATGGAAAACAGTACAGCAGTTTTTTAAAAAGTTAAATACAAATTTGCCAGATGACCCAGCAATTCCACTCCTATATATCTACCTCCATGAGAAATGAAAATATTTGTCCATGCAAAGAACTGCACAGGAATACTCATAGCAGCATTATTCATAATAGCCAAAACCTGGAAACAACCCAAATGTTCATGAACAAGTGAATGGATAGTCAAAATGTGGTATATTTATTCAATGGAATCTATTTAGCAATAAAAAGGAACAAACTGATGATACATACTATTCACGGATAAACTTCAAGAACATTACATAGGAATAAAAGCGTTCTAAAATTGATTTATGATAATGGCAGTATCATTTAGTATATTTACTAAAAATCATTGAACTCTACACTTGAAATGGGTAAATTTTATATAAAATATGGCACAATAAAGTTGTTTTTAAAAAAACCACACACAATAGAGGTATTCAATTCACATTTTATATGTGCCAGAAATTAACATAGTATCCCTATTTTGCATCTACTTTAGCACATAGAAATCTAATTTTGATCAAGCATTACCAGTCAGAAATCAGTTGAACTGCAAGAAGTAACCACCTACCAGTTAACTGAGATACACTAGGAATATTTATGGACTCAAAATGTCTTCGGGGCCTCATTCCTATCATTAGGCAAAGCTCACACTTTCATAAATTGCATGTCAGCTAAAACATGAAGAGTTGAGAACCACTATACAAAAATATAAAGAGGGAAACTGAAATGTAGTATAGGTTACAAAGGAAACAGAGAACAAAGATAAAGACATAATAAGATCTCCCATCTCTGGCATCCATATCTCTGGATATCGAAGGCTCAGAAAGCTTGGGGACTCTAAGAATTTTCTTTTGAGGGGAAAGGAAACTAACCTTGATCTTGTAGTTTTAAGTTAATCATTTTATTTTTGTAACTATGAAAAATGAAATATTTACCAAAAAAAAGTCTAGTCTAAGACTTTCTCAATCTTCTATTCTTACAGAATATAAAGACATTTAGCAATTAAGAGTAAAAAATATTAATAATAATAATTATAATTACTGCCAACATTATTTGAGCATGTTCTATGTGCCAAGCAAAGTGCTAAGAAATTCATACATATGATCTCATTTAATTTCTACAAAAATCCTAGGAGGTTATATTATCATCCCATTTTCCAGATGGGTAACTGAAGCACAGATCGATGAAGTGACTGATGATCCCAAAGGTCCAGTAATTTTGACAAGGAAGTGGCAACAGCAGTATCATCTGAAGCAGTAACACGGGAGAAAGGGTTTTACTACGGTATTCCTAAATTAGGTAAACACATTCAAATCAAACCCTCCTCCTACAAGCCCAGAGATTCTGTATAGAAAAAATATCCAGGTATAAATAAGATAAACTAAGAAACTGACGTGAACCCCAGGACATAAAAATCTGACTTATCCCACTTCATTAGCATTGCCTTTTCAAATCAGCCTCAGCTAAAGGCTCCCTCTCAAATCACTTTCCCAACCTGGCTGATGGCTCCTCTGCTATCCTTCCTACATTCTGGATTATTTCAGTTCAAAACAGTGAGATCCAATAGGCTGAAAAGTGAGGTGACCTCCAGATTTCCCTTTATTCCAATAAGTGAGGTGACCTCCAGACTTCTCTCTACTCTGAAAACACTAATAATTCCATTCTCTCCACATGGCCTTCTGTACTTGTCTTCATCTGTGTAAACCCTTTATAACCACTAGGTTTCAAAAAATGTCAGATCCCCTTCTCTCAGTGCTGCCCATCACAGTGCTTCCCATCTGCATCACTGCTTTGGGCACACTATTATGTATTTAAAGTGTGCACATCTCATCTACCCAATGACACACTAAGCTACTGGGATGGGAAGCATGCTTACGTTGTTTTGTATTCCTTGTAAGTACCTAGCAAAATGTTAAGCACAGGAAATAATAGTTTCTGAAATATAAAAAGCTTTGTATTTGTGCTTTTTAGTATAACTACATTTGTATTTATAAGTATTTTGTTTGTCCTACCAAAACCCTAAGATTACAAGCTCATTGTTAGAACGGATAACTTCATTTCTTTGTAGAGTATTATATGTTTAATTTTTTTTTTTAAGAATGAGGTTAAAGACTTCAAGTGTGGCAGGCATAAATTACTTTTTTTCCAGAAATACTAAAATCATTCTTTACATTTTTCTTTTTTTCTTTTGTATCCCCTTCCACCCCAGTTCCATTCTATGCATTTTTATAGTTACCTAAGTATCCACCCTATTTTCTCATATTTCTGAATCAAAGGACATTAAATAAACATATTTTTTCACTGTAAACACTGGATGAAACTAATGTGAAAACCACTTGACAAAAATGTAAAATAGTAAAAGTGCTTTTCTTTTGCTGAAATAATAAAGTACCAAAAGCTGTTATAAACGGCAAGAAGGTAAACTGAGTCAATATATGTAAATGTAAATGTAAAGGAGGAAAACTGAGAATAAAATTGTAAGTAAGTGTATATAATATGCATGATTACAACAATGAAAAACAAAGATGAGGAGGAATTTGGAACAAAGCAAAAGCATTTTCTTGTATTACCATGCTTAATTTCATAAAAGTAAAATGCTAATAATATATGAAAAGCCTAGAACTGTATGCATTTAAAAAATACCTGTAACTGAAATATTTCATACCTGTAAACATGGCGTGAAAGTAAGGACTACAGGCAGCCAGCACCACTCTATGAGCAGAGATTTCCATGTCTTCAGCCACAATTGTGACATCGCACAGCAAATTTTGACTGTTTACAAAGTAGAGAGAAAAAAAAACTTCAATGATACCAATAATAAATGTACTGAGCATCCTATGTAAAAATATTACAGTAAAAACTCACTTTTCTGAAGTTACGCTAAATAAAAACTGCCTTCCTTTAGAATTTCTAAACAGGAAATACACAGAAAATTGTCGTGACAAAGGCTCAAAATGCCTTGGGCCCTCACTCAGAATCTTGCCTTTGATAATCAGTGAAATATTTCCAACTTTGATTATTGATTTCTCAACCTCTAGAAAATTATTGGCAGCAACCCATCAATGGACTGTAAAGGGGAGAATGTCTGAGTTAAGAACAGCATCAGGAGAAGTGGCGAATGGCAGTCTGACATGAAGATGAATTAAAAATAAAACATATGTGGAAAACTAAATTGGGTCAAAGTACCCAAAATATATGTATTTAAAATGACCCTGGGTCATTAAACATAGGTAAAATTATATTCAACTTCACTTGCTGCTTAAAAGGCTTTCGAAGCTCAACTTAATCATACCATCTAGCAATGCAAAATATCTCATCCTTCAAGACCATAAAATATTACCACACATAAAATTAAAAAGCACTGTTACCTTAAACCATTATTTTACCTTAAACTATTATTCAGCAAACATATCTCCAGTTCTAAAATATCCATTTTAATTCATTCAAAAACATGTGGTGAACATGTTTTACATGCTATATAAGCTGCTAGGTGTGATTCTCCAGCTAAATAAAAATGTTACAGGATATCTTTTTGGCAAAAAAGGTTGCTATCACTTATTCTAGAACAAACAAGAAGATGCCAACTCTAAAACTGACCTCACACGTAGTCATGTCATTAATGGCTGAAACAGGTGTGGAGAAACCAAAACTCTTTTCCAAGTACCTCAAATATCTGAGCACTGAATAGATGTGTATAGCATACATAGGTCACACGTGGCCCCTCCTCCATTATTCTGCCTATTTCATCTTAGAGTGGCCTGCCTGCTTTGGTAAATTTCTAGTAGCTTATCAGCAACATTTTCACATGAGTTTAACCAAGTCCTTAAAGTTTTCCACTTTTCTACACTGCTTACAAACTTGTTTCTGTAG